CGAGAAGAAAATATTCATACTGAACATGGAGAAAAAAAAGAAAGGATGGAAATACAAAAATGAATATAAGAAATAAATAGGGCAGAGGGAAAGTTCTAAGATTCTTCTAGTTGTAGGCTCAAGTAAAGGTTTTAAAAAAAAAAACACAAAAGACAAGTATCACAATGTTTGAGGAGAAAATGGTTAAAAAATATTTCCAAAACATGTGAAAGTCAACAAGCATCAGGGGTAGATCCAAGGAGTGCTACAAACCATTAGCCAGGAAAATACAAAGCAAACATACCTAAATATACCAAAGTAATACCAAAGACAAAGAAAAGAGAATGAATGATACATTATCATCAAAAGACAAAAAATAAGAAAAACAGCTCATTTCACTGTCTCTGGTTCCCACCATATCTGTTGAGAAATCTGCATTTTGTGTTGCTGTCATGTATTTTAATTATTTAGATAAATCTATTTTTATAGTCAATATTCATTTATATTTACGAATATCATATATGTATGTGTGTGTGTGTGTGTGTGTGTGTGTGTAATTTCAAACAAAGAAAAACTGAAAGAAATCATCACTAGTAGATTTTTTACTAAAGAAAATATCGAAGCGAGTACTTCTGGCTGAAGAAAAGTAATGTTAGATTGAAGAGATTATTAGATGAAAAAAGGAATAAAGAGGAAAGAAAAATATTTCACATAAATATAAAGGGATATTGATTGTATAAGTCTATTTTGTAAACATACCATACAGAGAATAAATATATGTGACAAGAAAAATATAAAAAATAGAAGGTAGTAAATAAAGTGCTACATTTGCATTTTTAATAAGTTGTGATAGTACTGATTTATATTATATTTTAATAAGTCATGGTGGTATGTTGACATCTTATAGACAGCAACTAAGAGTACATAAAAACAGCATATTACTCACATGTTAATATAGGGGGAAAATAAATAATAAAAATAACTACATTATTTCAAAAGAAGCCAAAAAGAAGGAAAAAAGAGGAGGAGGAACAAAGAACACATGAGACAAATAGAAAACAAATAACGGGATGGTAGTTTGGTTCCTTTCTGAAAATTCCTCCCCAATCACCATAAGGTATTTAGTAAATGTACTAACGACTACATAGCTGCAAGCTAAAAGTATATAGTTACATTAAACTATGATTACATTTAAGCAGAAATATAATACATTGAGATTAAATTCCAGAGACCCTTTAGCACCAAATAACTTTATTTTGAATCTTAATTTTTGCTGACAGTGAACCTAATATGAAGGATCAGAATTTAATAAAAAATAACTATAAATTTAATCTCACATAATCTACAATTTTATTTTTAGAAATATAATAGGTTTGAAACACTGTTTATGTTAGAATTTAGATCTTTGGAAATTTTATTGTTGCAACAGGACATTAATATATGAAGAGATTTTGCTACCACTGAAGCCACACTTAAAAATCAAAGAGGATCTGCTTCACCAGGATCTTTAAATTTAATCAAAACCTTAAACATACCAATTAAGCCAGCTTCATTATACTCATTTTAACAGAGATAAATATATAAAATAAAACAGGCCTTAAGAAATAGCTTGAATCACAGAATGAGCAACTTTAACCTCTTGGTCTATTAAGAGACCTTTCTGAAAAATGTCATTAGCAAAAATGTAGAGATTCAAAGAACTTAATTATTAGACCTGGAGTAGAATAAGCGTTCATTCACACTGACCCTTTTTATATTTGGTAATATACTATTAAACTTCAATTGTGTGTATTTGTATTTATACACACATACACTTAGGATATTTAATTTCATCCTAATAATTTAATAGGAATATAATATCTCTAATGTGTAAACTGAAAATTTAAGGTCTAGTCATGTTATTATATGCACAAAATCACAAAGTAAGCTGCTACCAGAAAAAGATCTAGGTTTCCACTCTTTTATTGCCTAGCACACACAGCATTCTTTCAAAATACAGACTTTCTATCTGTTCAACTGCAAACTTACTTCCTATCACAGAAGTCAGTTCTACTCAGGATTCTCTCTGCCCATTCAACAATGGACAATTGATTAAGGCTCTTTGCTATCTCTTCACAGCCTCCCGCATTCATTTTCACCTCATTTCCCCATCAAAGCATGACTAGGTTCTATGAGATGAAAACGTAAGACACAAACAGCCACAATACCCGTCTACAGGCACTAATACCAAACTCTATTGACAATATGTCCTCATTCTCATTGATTTTGCATCCATTTGACAAATATTTATGAAAGAACTACAATTCACCAATCCTTGTTTTGGACCCTGAATAAACGCTATGAAGAATTTCGTTGTCTTCATAAGCATGCGATGCTTGTGGCCAAGAAGGGTAAAATTCATTCATTTATTTATTCAACAAGTATTACTGGCCATCAAAAACTAACCAGGCATTGTTAGGTGTTGAGAATCCTGTGGTGGATTCCTTCCTTGCTCTTACTGTGCTCAATGTCTGGCAAGGGATTAAAAATCCAATAATCACAAAAATAAACACATAATTCATATTATATATAACAAAGAAGTCATCATGCAATAAAAGTATAACAAAGGCTGCTGGCCTTGAAAGTCTGGGAAAGACTTCATGAGAAAGTAACATCCAAGTTGAGAGCTGAAGGTTGAATAGAAGTTAATTAGTTGAAAAGAATCTTCCTAGCAGAGGAGAAAACAGCATGTTTCCAGAGGGAACGTGATTTGTTAGAGAATTCAAAGGCGGCCACTGTGGCTAAAGTGGCAAGAACAAGAGAAAATAGTTTAGGATGATGTTGCTGAGAGATACAATGAAAAGAACATTTGAGGCTTCAGAAAACATACTACAAGTTTTGTGTCCATTCCTAAAAGCAACGGGAATTCACAGATTGTTGTGAAACAGGGAAATAGCATGATTCTATTTGAAATAAAGAACATTCCCAATAAGTTATATAGACAGTGGGATGAAAGGGGTATATGGAGAATAACAAGACTATTTTGAGAGTTCGGTCATCCACATGAGAGATAATGCCATTTTAAAATTGGTGGTAGGAGTGAAGTTGGAAAAATGGATGGGTTCAAAAGAAATTCAAGAAGTAAAATTGCAAGACTCAGTAAAACTTTGGGTGTGGGGAAATGAAAGAAGGAAGCTCTTGGTTTGTGGCTTACAGAACTGAATGAATTATGATGGCATTCCCTGCAATAGGAAATACTGAGAAGGTCAAGGCTGGAAGCGGTAGAACATGAATGAAATTTTGGATGTTGAGTTTGAGTTGCTGTTGGGATAACCAAGCAATGATATCAAGTCAGCAAGTGAACAACTGGGCTGGAATTTAAGAGAAAAATGGGAATGTAAATCAGGAAAACACTGCTACACAAACAGTAACTGAAACTGTGAGTGTGGGTGAGCAGTTCTAGGAGGAATACATACACTCACAGGGAAGCTAAACATTCACCAGGGAGATACAGGTCACTTAGCCTGCCAAGGAGACTGAGGAACCAGAGGTAGGGCTTAAAGCAGTAAAGGTTTGTTAGAAGCCCAGGAAGAAGATAAATTTCAAAACACCAAGTGTCAGGTGCAAACGTTGCTGTGAGTTCAAATAAGACAAGACAGAAAATAAATTACAATTCAAGAAGACTTTTACTAAAACATAATTATAAAATTCCTGAGAACATAGAGAAAGGGGCATTAACACTGTAGGAAGAAAAATGGTGGACAAAAGAAGTGATTTGTAAGCTGTATTTGAGACACCAATAGGAGTTGTCTAGGCAAAGCAGTCCGTGAGTTAAAAGGCAATGTTTAGAAAAGGCATAGCTTTTTCTCCAGAAAGAAAAAAGAAGTCTTCATTAGGCTGATTGAGTGTCCCAAAAGATTGAGATTTAAGTTAGATGACAATGGCCATCTTGTAAGTAATGAGATGCAGAGTATCTTTTAAAGAATCCACAAATGCTAAATTCCAATCTGTAGAGCTAAGATTGCAATTTCACATATTGATACACTGAACTGAGGATACCCTATAAAAAAATGAATATCTAATATTAGAACAGTTGGTTTAAAGTCACATAGTACAATTATGCCTATCCTCTAAAATATTACAATAACACAAGTTATTATTTTGTTCACAAGACAAATTAGAAATGGTTTTGCATCCAGTGCCTATAATTACAAAAAATATAGCTAAGCCCTCATTGTGCCCCTCCTTTTTTCCATGTTTTAATATTTGCGTGGCAATCATCAGCTATTCAATATTGTGTGAAATTTTAAATTTTAAGCTTTTTAAGGGGAAAAGCAAATTTCTTTATTTAACTTTTCTTCATTTATTTGACACTTTGGTTGAGACCACATTAAATCATAACTGTGTGGATAATATTAAGTTGCCTATTGTCTTAATATGGGCCTTCAGGAACAAGGTGGGAATAAATTTTAATCTGAAATCAGATTTTTACAATTTATAGCTATTTACAATTTTTTCATACTTATTAAATTTTGTTGAAGCACAAACGCATGAGGAATAATTAATGATTTGATTGCTTATTTCATCCTACTACGTCTTCCTAACCGTCTGTCTGCATTGGTTTCATTCCTTTTTCTGCCTCACATTGTGACAAATTTGTCGTCTTTGTTACACAATAGAAGGAGGAAACTGAGAATAAGGACAGTATCTCTGACAAATTATATAATATAATGCATCCCTTCCAAAGAAAACAAAGAGAAGGAATCATTTCCTTTAGGCGACCTGCAAAATGGTCACAGGTAGGGATTTTGCTGGATCTCATCTGCAGGGGCGGGTCTACAAATTCACAGCGGAGAGATGATAGGGAACCATGGAAAGGGTGCGGCCTAACTCGACAAAACTGGTGCAGGAAGGGCCCTAGGGTGCGGAGGTGACATAAATGGGGGTGAGGGCACCGAGAGGTCGATGGGAGAGAGGTCGACGGGAGAGAGGCTGGCCGTCCGTGTGCAGGAGGGTGGGAACACTGGGCCGCGAGGTGGTACCTGCGCGGGGTCGAGCGCCCCTGCCACTGCGTCCCCGATCCAGAGATGCTCCCGGAGAAGCTGCTGGTAGCTGAGGCAGTGCTTCACCGCGGATGGCACGTTCCCCATGGCGGAGCCTGGGGCTGCAGTCGGCGAGGGGCGGGAGAGTGGAGGAGGATGAGGGGCGGCACCGCGCAGGGAAACTGCCGGGAGCGCGCCCTGCCGCTGCCCCGTGCGCGCAGGGCGGCGGCGCCGGAGGGGCGGGAGCCGGGGCAGGGGCGCAGGGGGCGCGGGGGGCACCTGCGCCGACGGCGGAAATGCCAGGAGCCCGAACCGGGGAGGGGCCGGCTGAGCCAGAGGTTGTTCAGGGTGGCTCGTTTTCCTCACGATGCTGAGCGCTCAAGGCTAACTGTGTCTGCAGGTGCCCGCCCACCGACTTCTCGCCTGATTCAGAACTTACATAGAAGGAGAGGGCCCTAAAATAAAAAGAAGGGGTGTGCGTTTTGTGGGGGTGACTTTGTTCATTCCCAGCTACAGCCTCTTGCTCGGGCTCAGTGTAGATTTGTCCACCATTGAGCTCACCTGAGTGTATGCTTTACGCCAATAAACCCGATTCTGAAATTTTTTGAGTCAATTGGTAACGTTAAAACATATTCTACAGTCTCATAAAGAAGGAAAGATAGAAGGTCAGAGATGCCAGTGGTACTGTCAGAGGTATGTTGTTAAATCAGGAAATTGGTGCTGCAATAAATCCCTGAAATAGAATTGAGTTTTTTAAAAGGAGTCATGGCACAGAATTGTTGAAGCCCTAAGGGCTAAAGGTATTCAAATGGAAAATTCTAAACAATTCTTTAAAATATTAGAATGGGAGAAATCTCTAGTGAGGCAGGGACTTCAGAAGATAGTACTGGAGCAGACCACCTCCCTACCCGCCCACTCCACACACCACTTTCACTTGCACACTTACACGGTCACACTCTAAACTCTTCACAGTGGGTTCAGTAGCCTGCAACTAACAGCAAAGACGAGTCATCAAAAATGGTCTTTGTGAAAGGTGCCTAGAGTCTTCTGGAACCCTATAAATGCCAAAACCACACAGATCAAATGTCTTAAGAATGTTTGATGAATAAAATGGAGTGACAATAGATGTGCTTTTACTGGTAAGTAAAGTTTAATGTTAAGTCATGAAGGCTTAGAATTTATAAATTGGAACACCTTATGCTCTTGTAGTTAGTATTAGTGTACATCTTTTCTGTTTTCATGATTAAAATGAATATTCTCAGTATGTACCCCTGTTACTTGCAAGTCTGAAAAGCACCAGATAAAATGAGGATAAAGCAATCCTCCAAGGTAGGTACTGTAGTTCTCTCTTGCCATATGACAGATTAAGAAGCTTGGGCTCCATCAGAACAGCAAAGAAATCACTTTCTAAAAACCACAAATCTGTGTAGTGCCATATTCTGAATCTGCACTCTATCCTACTCTCACTGACTAAACCATTTCTATTTTGTTGCCTTTCCATCATTAAAATATAAGACAATGTAAACATTTATTGCAAATTAAAATGAATTAAACTTTCTGTCTTTTCTAGTGATTTTACTGACGATTTTGTTGAGTGCAAAAACATTCAATTCTGGCTCTCCTGAGTTGTTCTTGACTCCCTTCTCTCCTTAAACTAAGCCAGCCCAAACCCACTCTGTCAATAAGGGATGTTAGTTAAACATCTTGAACCCATCCCTTTTCTCTCTTTTCTTGCTATGAACTTGTCTCTGCTCCACTTCTGTCTTTAGCTGGCAACACCGTAATGCAGTAGGGAAGCACCTAAGAGCTGATCTTAGATTACAAGAGTGTTGGAAGCCGAGCTCCACCAGGTACTGAGTGATCTCGGGCAAATTCTTTAACCTCTGTTTCCTTATCTACAAGAGGGCGATGATAACAGTTCCCATCTGTTGCAAAAATTAAATGAACTAGCATATATAAAGCGCTCAACACATGGTTTCTGGCACCCAGTAAATGTTAGCTATTACTATCAATACGGTAGCCTTGTTTTCTGTGTTAATTTGCTCTCACAAATTTACACTGTACAGCCTGAGCAATTTTTGAAAATACATACCTGATAAACACTTCTGAGCTTAAAATTCTTAGAGATTTTCCATAACTTTTGGAAAGAAGTTATGTTTTTTAAAAACATTTAATTTTTCATGATGAGACTCTTAGTTACAGTTCAAGTCTCGACTTCTACCTATTTTCTAAACATTCAAAACTTAACAATGTCAAATTATGTATGATTCCCCAAGTTTCAGGGCTCTAGTCTGTCCAATCATTCTAATTCTATTCCTTATTTTAGAAATTTTGAGAAATACAGAAGATGCATAAAGATATCAATAAAATAACTCATAATCCTAATTCTAGAAATATTTTGATATATTTTCTTTCAGAGAGAAAAAATTAATATTCTCTGTAGGTGCTTTTCATTCTTCCCTTTTTATTTGATTTAAATTCTTTAAATGCCAATTTAATTTTGATTGAAATTATTTGAAACCAAAATGCTATTGGCTATATAATATCCATATGTATATATATACATATATAAAATCAAAAACATTTTTTACAATAACTCTCTAAAGTATAGTATGTTCTTTAATTATTTTTGAAAGGAAAGCAGGTAGCTAGAATATGATCATATAAATGTATTAATAATTATCTAATTAATTTTACAAAATAGCATTGCAGTGGAAATCCTCCACTGTAGTTCTGATTATATCAATTTCTCTTTATATTTTTAAAGACGTTTTGCATTGTATATACAGTATTTCCTTGATGCTTGGTAATTTGCTTGTATAAGCTTATCTTTGATGAAGGTTTTTTTCTTGTAGGAATCTTTTATGGCTTATTGGAATATCCCTAAAGAATGGTTTTACTCTTGCTTGTTTGGAATTTCTAATGAGTTTGACTTGATAGTGCTAAGATTTATTTTTTTTGTTAACGTCTTAGTTTGGGATACCATAAGGATCCAAAACTGAAAACCATGCATGATGGCACTTGCTTTCAATTTTCTTGCAGAATTTAATTTCTCACCCACAGAGCCTGGTGAACTTTTTCCACCTCCCATGTATGGAATAGCCCCTTGAAATCAGTGGCTTGTGCTCATGGTTCAGTTAGCTACCTGTCCTCAAATTGCCCTTGGCTAAAGTGTATCTTCCTTTGTGGTTTTTAAAACCTCAGCTCTGGGTTGTCAAGGTCTGTGCCCTCTTGTGAGCCTCTTGGCAGTATTTAGCTCATGGGTATGTCCTTGATATCAGTGTTTGGGGTGGGAGGGGAATCTCTCAGATCAGCTTAGTCTTCCATATTTACCAGAATTCTGACTTGAAAATTTTTCTGTGATTATTCTGTTTGTTTTATATTTTTCAGTGCATTCTGGAGTTTCTATACTATCTAACACAGTAAGTGTAGGAAACAAGAACTAAGAAAACTGAACTAAGAATTAAACTGAGAAGTGAACTAAGAACACTGAATTTAACTCAAAGAGCCAAAGAATCTCACAATATAGTTCTGATGTCTTGACTAATCCACAAGAAAGAAAACTAGACAGAAGCCACATACTCTCTATACCCACTCCCATCCACCTCCCTATCTCTTCTCTGTACAAAAGGACCACAATAAATTACTACCCTGTAATAAATTACAGAGTTATGTATTGCATATGTCCTTAAAAAAGACTCAAAAACAGAACGTGGAGGGATTTTTGTTCCAGACACCAGTCAACCCATAACTAGGTAGACTGACTATATCAATTCTCTCCAGTGGCAAGTACTTGGTTAAGAATGGCCTACTTAAAACAGGTTGATATCTTGTGAGTCTCTTTGGTCCAGCGATGGCTATTTAAGAGTCTGTATGCTGACAGCATGAGTAGAATCAGAAGCAAGTGAACAAATCAAATTCTTACAGTAATAAGTGCCAAACTGGCATGTAGCCAAAGTATCTACTGGGCAGGGATCAAAGACACATATGGTGAATCTCAAACAATAATGCCATAGAACTTTGGCAAGAATCACATGAGTAATGTGCTACAGCCTTAAACAATAAAAAAGAAAGAACAAGAACAACTTGGTTACCAATACTGGGTGATACCTAGGGGGAAGCAAGGCTTTCATCATCTCAATTTTATTGCTGAAAAATTTAGATAACTTCTCACATATGTTATGTCTGGCTGATCTAACGTGATGGGAAGGATAACAGTGTTTAAAAATATTCTTGGCATTTGGTCACTAAAATCAAAGTTCCATTAACAATAGCATTGTTCTGAAATAGAGCATTCTTCTGAGAATAAGTAATGAGTTCTATTTTACCAAAATAACACCCCACCCCAGGTGATGGATACCTGGCACTAGATACTGAAATCAGAACAAAGCCATAAACCATATCTCTCCAGATGTAGGAGTCTATTTATTCTCTCACTAATTGACAAGGACCCGAAAGCATTAGCTTTGCCAACTATGTTGCAAAAGAAAAGACATGGACATGGACTGTTGATTATTTTACTTCATTAGATAGTTGCAGTGCACATATTTTTTTGCCAATGGATGTAAAAGTAAAATTATCTTTTCATATCATTAACTACAAACTCAAACTGCATTTGGAAAATGTTTTTATCAATCAGTTGATATATTCTGGTGGATTATAGCAAATGTGACCTTAACAGGTAAACTATATTAACTCTTACCCATGGACTACATCATTCTTTGAAATTGTATCAAGTACTATTGAATGAGAAAACAAGTCAATATCAATTACAAGCATAAAGCACTTAGTATTTTGCCTGGTATATAGTAGGTCCTCAATAATTCAGTTTTTCTTTTTTGGCAATCAAGTCAGTCCATTATTAAGAATATAATTTGACGTTGTTCCAGTTAGTGGGAATCTGGAAGAACCATATTTAATGACTTGTATAGAACATTTTTTAGTCCACTAAAGAGATTTTTTAAATGTGATACTCAATAGCCAATGGGAAAATAAATATGCAAAGATATTTTAAAATATGCTTTCTTGGCTTTAAAGACCTCACATACTAGTAGCAACATCTAAAGAAAAATAACTAAAGTAAAAGTATATAAAGCAGATCCATTTTAATTAGAGCATAAGAAATTAAATTCTAAAGTTTCAGGATATAAAACATTATTTATAGCAGAATTTTCAGGTTCATCAAATGTATACTGAGTTATTAATGCTTAATAAATATAAGGACTTAAAATA